ATATTTCTTACAAATTTTGCTACAATTTTAATGATCATAGAAATTTTTTTCCATGGTAAAAATTTGCAAAAAATATTATAAGAATTTTATTTTGTTTCTTGCAGATTTTCTTGCAAAAATAAATTCACAAGTAATGTTTACTAAATGGTAGAAAAATTTCGCAGGTAACTTTTCATGCAAATTTTCTTGCAAATTTTAATCTGCAAGAAAAATAAAAAAATATTTAAATTTATAAGTTTAATATTTTAAAAAAAACTTCAAGTCCTACATCGATTGAAAATAAAATAATTAAAGAGTATATAAGTCAGGGCAATACTTACCTTACAAGTTGATTTGTATGGTTGAGTGATAGACTTATAATCTACAATCTTAGAGTTTAAAAGATTATGTATCACATGTTTGAGGCGTGGAAAAACAAATGTTTCAGACTAATTCATTGTCAGAATTTGAAAGTTGAAGGATTATTGATAGAATTTGTAGAAAATATTGTTGATCTCTGGGCAACTAGATCAACAATAAGTGGAGACAACTCAAAAGAGATATAAAAGATTTTTAAATTTCGGTCCTCATAACCCAAGTTTTAAAAGTTTTAGAGATATGAACTAGTGAGAAGTTCTCTAAATTATGTTAACCTTCTTCCTTTTCTTCTTTGGCAAGAAACCTTTTCATTTCTCTCTTGTAGTTGATATGAGTTGATTGAATTGTTGGATCAAACCCTATGAAGTCGGGGCTTCGAGTTTTGAAGTCGTAAGTGAATGTTCAACTTCTCTTCCTCTCTTGTTGGTTGGTGTTCTAAGAGGTAAGTAAAGCTTTGTGATTATTTAGTTTAAGATTGCAAGTTGAATTTTAGTTGTTGATGTTACTTTAATGTTGCTAATTAAGTAGATTCTTGGTGGGATGATGAGTGTTAGGGACTTGATTGCTTGGAAGTGGTTTGGGTCAAAACTTGGTGATTCTCAATTTTTATAGATGCATGCTTCTCATGTTGTATATATGTTGTGTGCTTTATTGCATTTGAGTTTTGGACTAATTATCAGGTGGTTTGGGGAAATCGATTTCTGCATAAGTGGAAAAATTGATATTGCGCCGGACGCGCCTTCAAGGTATCGAGCGTGACTCCAAGAGGGTATCTATCTCACTCACATTATGCGCAGGATTGATGGCGTGGTTTGAATGGCATAAGGTGTGAGGAGAGAGAATTATTTTGGGTTGGAATCACACAGGTATGGTTTGAATGATGTTGGGTGTAAAGGGAAAGATTCATCTCTACCTGGATTCATGTCAGGCACTAATGAAGTGGTGTTGAACGTGAGTCAGGTAAAGATCCTCTACTTGATTGGAGTTAAATGTGGGTTTTGTCGCATCAGGTGTGAGAGTGGGAGACTCTCTATCTCAACCATGTCAGGCGCGGATAGTTTGACATTAAGCATGAGCGAGACAAGAAGCCCTTTTGCCTCAATGGCGCCAGGCATCTTATGAGTGGCATCGGGCTTGAGATGCATGTTATAAACATGTTGTTTTATAGTTGATTGGTGATGAATAAGTTGTAAAATGTATGAGGTATGATGAAGGGTGTGTGATGATGAACCTATTAACTCAGACGAAGACGAAAGCAATTCCTAGCAAGGTTTTGAATGAGACAAATATAATACATATTGTTATTACTAACAAGTGTGTTAGTGTTTCAGATATAAGTACAGGTAAGCTGAAGAATAGAGAATATACATCTATACCAGAATCAAGAGATATGAGTCAAGCATTAGATAAAGGCTGAGCAAACGAAGGGAATACATTAGACGAAGACACCTACACAAAGGAATAAAGAACAGGACACGAACAACCTAGACGAAGGACATAAGCTAACAAGACATCAGATCATGGACGAGGATAAAACATCCTAGACGGAGTCGAAAAGCTTATGCAGCCGACCAGACAGAGACTCGAACACACAGACAAAGATCAGGAATGCTGGACTGTGTCTGAAGAACACAATACGACAAACTACCTAGCATCCACACTCTCAGAAGAACATATGAAGTCATCAAAGTGTAAGGAGAAAGAAAAGAAAAATGGATTAGCGCATATCCACAAATCAAACCTGCGTGTGTCAGTGCAAGTACACCTACCAATTAGCAAAGGGCAACGCCTCTGTATCAAGAAAGTACGGAGATATCCTAATGGCAGATATAGAAGCAATCAAATGATACAAAAGACCTTGTAGAACGCAGATTACGCAGATTTAGCAAGTAAACATTTAATGCAAGATCAAAGGCATTAAATACAAGAATCCATAAAGCTTGTGCAAAATAAACAAGATTCAAATGATGGTCAGTCAAACATCAAAATTAGGATGAATCACGGACGGAAGAACATTCAACAAACACAGGATTGAAGCATCAGACAAAAAGCCAAAGCAAACTAACTCAAGCACAAGACAAAAGAAGGTTAAACATTAGACAAAAATCATGTAACCTTCAGATTAAGAGTAATCGAGGCAAGGCACGTCATAAGAACCAAATAAGTCAAGGTAGATAGCAGATGAAGTAAATGACAAAGGAAACTGAGCATCAAGAGAAGAATAGTTGGAACACGTATATGCGCCAGGTGATCATAAAATACTTAAACAAAAATATGTCTAGTACAACTATCCCAAAGCGCAAATCAGACAAGGCACATGTCTAAGGTCAAAAAGAAAGTCAACTATGCATCAGACGAAAGACAACACAAACTGAGAGACACTCCAGATGGAAATAATGTTTGTATATTCACATTGTTAATCAAACCAAAGAAAATTCAAAGCACTAAACTCAGACGTTGAAGCAAAAGTCAAAATTGAGATGCATAGAACAAATAGATGAAGATGAAGACTGGCACGCAAGCAAATAAAGAATCACGTCTCAACAAACAAGCCAAGACACCGTCTGTTACAAAAAAGCTTTCAATGTAAAATGCGTGATCTAAATGAAGAAACAAAGGAGAAGAGAAGCACGCAAAAACAGAGCACACATGTGTCAAAAAAAGTGATTACTTTTTCAGAAAAGGATAACGACTATATTGTTGTATGACCAGAAAAAGACAAATAATTTCTTGGTCTCAGATAAAGTCAAACACTGCTGCAAAAGGACAGAGAAGAACACACGCAATGTCTAAGAATAGGAAGCAACATTTAATGCAAGGTCAAATGCATTACATGAAAGGATCAAACTAG